TATATATACACATGCCTCTAATGTGCCTAAAGGCACATCAGAGGTTGCACAAATGTGTGGAAAGTGTTCTTACCAGATGAGGCTATAGTAAATTTTATAAATCAAGAACACCAAAACGCTTCAAACCAACACGTTTCATCATGCTGATAACAGCAAAGCACGGGGGTGGCAGTATCATGACGTGGGGATGTTTTTCATCAGCTGAAGGACAGACGAAGGGTGCAAAAATTGTTACTATTGACAGACAAATCATACTAAATATTTTTACACAGACAGACATCAAAGAGTTTGGAGGGATCATTAGACAATGGTTCTAGTGCGTTGCTCAACATCTGATACTGTATCTCCAGACATCAAATTAATTACACATTGTACACACACAAATCACACATTACACCTGACAAAGCATCATGGAAAAGCCCCCCTAAAATATACCTAGTGACGCCACTGCTCTGCACTAAATATAGGGTGAGTCAATAGTCTCAGGACAGCCTTTTCTTTCAGAAAAGAAATATAACCAGGATGGCACATACGCGGTGCACAGGTGTGCATGCACAATCGACAAAGTAAAAGATGGAACCTCATGAAACTCACTTGCATACCTAAGATTATACCCGATTGTCTGTCAAAACAACAGTTAGCAGAGCTTTAGAGTGTGACCGGTTTGGTCACAAATGCGACCTGATTTCTTAAAAAAATAAAAATCCTGACGCACTGGTGTGACTGGATGATCTAGATTGTTGTTTGGTGCTCACCAAGCCTCCAAGGACAGTGGGACCCTGATATAAGGATTAAACGACACTGCCTTCAACAAATCAGACAAAGTCCAGAGCCATTTTATCCAATCAGAGCAGAGCAGGGCAGGATTTTCAGTGAGAGCTGTTTTCAGCAGAGGCAAAGTGCAGGTTGAAGCAGCGGCTCGACCCGAGCAGCGGCTGAAGCGATCAGTCCTGACATCTCCTGCACTTTACTCCTGAACTACCAGAGACTTTGGTCTGTAAAACATAACTTTATATTAAATATATGTTCAGAATGTTGTTATCGAACAGATCTGTCCAACTCTGTGTGAGTGACTAAACTCTTTCCTCTTGATGAGAGACTGCTTTGAAAGGAGCGTCTCGCTGTGCGCGCAGGCTGAGCCTTTCTGTGAGATTCACTGTTTCAGTTCTTCTAATTGAACCACATTAACTCTAACAGAACATTTGTTTGTCCCATATTTAAGCAAAGATGATTGATTCTCTGTTTAACACCACCCCCATCAATTTTTTTATATATTATAAAAATAAAAACAACTTGCCATGTTCCCTAGGTGAATGAGTTTTAAATGTTATTTTCATTTATCAGAAAGATCCACAAATTTCATTCTTCACAATTTTATATATAAAAAAACAAGGTTCTTGATGTGCTAAACATGTTTATTTTTAGAACCATGTGACACAGCTTTTCTGGGATAAATGTAATTCAATCAGGATCAAAGAAGAATGAATAATTGAATGAACTGAAATCATCTAAATAATATTATCTTTTTGAATAAAAGTATTTTAAATAAAAATCTGTCTAACAAATAAAACATTTGTATGTTTTATTTTGCTCTTTGCAAAAGACAGATATTTGCTGCTTGGAATGGAGAGTGTGTAAAGCTGGTTTAACCAAGGCCGAAGATCCAGAATACCAAACAGGAGTTGTCATCTGAAGGACGTGTGTAGTTTAAAAGACATTTACATTTAACCATGAATGTTCAGTTTGTGATGTTTATATGACATACACCCAGCCCCTCGGCCACTTAGGTAGTTTACAAAATTTATGCGGAATGAAAAAAATAAAAATAAAAAACTTGTTGGACTGATTTGACATGATGTCCTGAGACGTTGCAGCTGATAGGAGTCATAAAACAGAACAGGGGGACGTTAGATGCTCTGACACCCCTATAGATAAATGTGTTAAATGAGTGAAGGAAAATATGAGCACCAAGCAACAACCCTAGGTTCTCCCCTAAGAACCAAACTAAAAATTTTAAGTGCACTCCTGAATATAACATATCGAAATCACACACACACACACACACACACACACACACACACACACACNACACACACACACACACACACACACACACACACACACACACACACACACACACACAGCAAGAGACACACTTGAGAAAAGGCACCAGCAGCTAATTCATGTTATTTATTTGTTTAAATTGATTTTTTTTGTCTGAGGCCAGTTATTAAAAGAGCTACAGCTGGTTTATTCCTATTCAGATGATTGTCACGTCTTTTTTTCTAGAACCACCGTTAACAAAAAATAAAWGTTTCTCCAACAATCCACCCATAATTGTKGTTGTTTATATACTTATTTTAGCTTTRAGAGGGTAGAGGGAGGCATTATAATAATTTATGACATGCTGAATCTTCTTCCATCAACCCATTGTCTCACGTCACGTCGTATTGAAGCAAGCAACACACGGCACAGTTTAAATTCAGGCTCTTATTTTGAAATGAAGACTTGGTCCTTTACCCAGAATGCATCGCTTCAGCTCTCCAAGAAACAGTTTAAAATGACTAATATATTGTAATCTTTCTTACCGAAGCCCTACCATAAACATAAAAAAACAAATGACCAAGGAGCAGCAAAACGTGCAGTCCACAACAAGTTTTTATTTTAAATTAACACCATGAATCAAACGTCTCTTTGTACAAATGACCTCCTGAAACCGCGACGCAATGTGAGTTGGGTTGAAAGCAACTTATTCTGCCACTAAATGGCAGCATTGTGCAAAAATGGCTCATGTTATTACYAAAAATACATATTCCGGTGAACTGAGTCAATTTTGCGGATCTTTTTAGCTTCCGCTAATTTTTATGACACGTGTGCTTTAGAACATGTGGAACTAAAGAAAAATAATAAGCAGTTTAGAATTTGCGGAACTAACTTTTGAATTAGCACTGCCCACCACTGGACATTGCAAATCTGATTGCAGCAATCAATTTCTGAGACAATTCTGGTTTTCTCTATGATGCTATCTGACCATCTTCCAAATGTAAAATGAGGAATTTTAACCAATAAGGTGGCCATGTTTTGGATGTCTAAAAGATCGAACCTCTCACCTATTACTTGCTGGGTTAATCACATTTTTTCATTTTCTCTTTTGTTTCTGAAATAGAGTGTCCTGTTTAGTATTATCTTGACAAGTAAGCCCAACAACAGCCCACCAGCAGCAATTCTCAAGTTTGTAGCATCTGTTCACTTGTACCGAACACGYCGAATGAAAGACTGGTCCTCTAAAATGTAAAGCTGCAGTGGGGACTGCAGTGGAACCTTATCWAGGTGTGCTCACAGTTCATAAGGTTTGCCTGATGGAATCATTCAACCCATCAAGCCCTTTGATGCCTCTTAATAATTCCCAGAGGAAAAATAATGTTTACGTCCATTGACTTATGCTTTCAGAGTCACTTGTGTGGAATGGCCCAAACAGATGGCAAATGTCTAGACAAAAAAAGACATTTAAAAGGTGATCTATCAATACAAATTTACCTCCCTACTCCAACCATTAGCTTCAGAAGCTAGTCCATGGGCTGGGGTGACTCAGTGCACCTCCCCCCTCCCCACCCAACACACACACACACACACATAAGCACACACACTACGGAACTTCTCTGGTATTTTCATGTACCCTAGGGTGCACTCTTTCAGAAAATGCATGTTAACAGAAAAAAGTTGGGTCTCACTTCCCCCCAGGGACCRTTTTCTGGCCACACCTCTTTTCTATTGTGACCATCAAAATTAGGAGTACAGAAAACTTAAATGCCAACAACTTTGCTATAGACCAACCAAAGTTAAAAAAAGGTATCAGCAGTTTCGGACTGATTAGCTCTTCGATGTACATGACATTTTACTAAGCAAATATCTGCTTGATGATGTCACTGGGGGTGNTTTTTTTATGGTTAATCTCTTCATGACAACGTTTTCTTGTTTGATGGAAGAATGGTTAAGGGAACAAATGTTGTAAAACAGGTTTGTTGGCTTTTTATTCATGCGCCAATGAAACACAAAAGGTATCTGGAAATAATGTAATGAATGAAGAAGGGTTACAGCCATTACACGTGATCTTTAGAGTTAGAGCTTTTAGTGCAGACACAGTTAAGGTTTATTGCTTTAATA